GGCACCCCCAGAAAGAGGGGTGGACCCTAGTCATGACAGGAGCCCCCAAACCTTCCTTGAGGATCTTGCTGGACTCGGCATCTCTTGCAAAGGACAGGCCACCTAGGGGTTTTAGACGCCCTTCCCGTGCCCTGCGCAGGCGGAGAGCAGTCCAGAGGCCAGAAGGCCGGAAATCCCACCTGCAACGTACCCTCTCCTGCCCGACAGGAAGCTCAGGCCCCACAGTCCACACTGGCGCTGGATTGGGCAGCTTTCGGCCCCAGTGAAAGGGATTCCCACGCGGCTGACCTTGGTGTGTTCAGGGCCTTTCAAACTCTGGGGCTATGAGGCGAAGGGAAAGCCGAGGGGACCTGAATGGGGGCCGCAGAGATGGTGGAGAGAGGCCCCACCAGCCATCAAAGGCCCGGGAAGAAACCGAGGGTCTGGGGCTGCCGTTTCACCACGGCCACCCCCTCCCCAGTCCAGCCCTGCCACTGCTTCCTCCAGGCCTCCTGGGAAGGGAAGCACTGCTTCCGCCTCTGTCCCCCTAGCCCCGTGGGACACCCAAGGGCCTATGCCAGAGACTTCTCCGTGAAAGCTCTCAGGCTGGCCCGAGGAGGAGACGAGGCTACATCCCACATCTGGGCAGCACACTAGCCGGACCCTCGGTACCATCCACAAGCCTCCTGAGCATCCTGGGCACTGTGCTCTCTGCCAAGGAGCCAGTGGGGAGAGAAAGACAGGTGATGTGGCCTCTGCCCAGGCAAGTCCCTGTGGATGGCCACCTCAGAGTCAGGTGGCAGGAGGGAAATCCAGTAGGTGGAAGCACTTTCAGACAGGCAGTCAGAGAGGCATTTGCTACCCAGATTGTAACAGGTCTCAAAAGTCACAGAGTCCAGATCAGAATGACTTCTTTGGCTCCCCGGCCTCTCCTTTGCCTAGCTCCTGCTCACACATCCCATGGCAGGGAGCCCATCACCTTTCCAACCTAGTACTTCCATCCTCGGCCCAATCTGGCTGTTGTTGGAAAGCTGTTCCTTGCGCTGAGCTATAATCTGCCTCCCTGCACGTCCTTCAGCCTGCCGCAGCTCTGCTCTCAGAGGCCCCAGGGCCTTCTCGGCCACCTGAGCCGCACACAGCTCATCTGAGATTTGGACATAGTGGTCTTATCCCCAAAGCCAATCTTGGAGGCAAAGGTCCCAGGGAGAGTCCTAGAATTTCTATATTGAAAGGGCCCTTGGAAAAAAAAAAAATGAAAGGGCCCTTGGCAATGCACTAACCGAACACTGTTCTAACTTGTTTTTGCTACAGAACTCTTTATTCAAATAGAGCTTTCTGTGGAAGCCCAAAATACCAAACAGAAACCCTCCTGTTGAGGAGATTACCCAGTCCCCCTTACTAATTAGCTTACTAATTATGAATGCTCTACAGGCATATGACTGACCCATTCCACCAAGGAGCCCTTACTGAGCGCCTATTATGTGCCAAGCACTTGTACCAAAGCCATATTACCCAATACAGCAGCCACTGGGCACATCATGGGGCTACTGGATGCTGTGAAACATGGCTAGTGCAACCAAGGAACTAAATTTTCAATTTCATTTGATTTTAATTATTTTAAATTTAAAAACAAGCAATATGAAGTATTTCTCCCTCGGTAAAGGGCCACTTCCTAGGAGGCGCCTTCCCAGATCCCTTTGGTCAAAATCAGCCCTTCCCTGTCTTGCTCTCCCCCTCTAGTGTCACTGCCCATCACAGAGCCGCCTTACATGCTGCCCTTTGGAGGGACTTCGGGCTTGTCAGTTTTGCCCACCAGCCTGGGAGCCCTAGAGGGCAGGCCCTTTGTGACTACACTCTATTATCACCACCACCACCACCCTGAGGCCTGGGCAGAAGGGTGGCACCAGGAAATGCCCAAGTCCTAGCTGGAGATGACTGCAAAGCAGAATGGAGCCAGCAACTCCTCCCCCCAGAGCCTCAGTCACCTCATCTGAGATATGGGAGTGGGGATTCCTCTTGGCCTCTTCCCCTTGGCCCTCTATGCCTCTCTCCCTCATGGCCCTTCCCTCAGGCTGCCAAGGGCTCCGGAGAAAGCAGTGCCATGGTCTGCAGCAAGGGGCCAGCCCTCCCGTGCACCCAGCAACGCTGGCTTCTGACTTTCTTACCACACTCTTGGCAGCATCCAACCTGCTGTGTAGGCCCTTGTGCTTGATACTCTTCCTCCCACGGTCCCAGGCTCTGCCCAGCCCTAGGCTGCTCTGCCTCCAAAGCATCTCTCTGGAGGGCCTGAGGGGTAACAGATAGTGGCAAAATACTGGGGAACTGAGGCCGTCAGGGGCTCTCCAGCTCTTCCCCCACCCCCTCCCGCCCCCACCTAGGCCACACCAAAGCTGTGTGTGGCAAAGCTATGTGTCTTTGCCAATGGCACAGAACTCTTTGGTGCCTCAGTTTCCTCCCCTATGAGATGGCCATTCCAGAGAGATAGAGAGGGAAGGCAGGAAAGGGTAGCAGGGAGCACATGGGGGTACTCCTCCGGGCAATTTGCTGCTGATTTGGGCAAGGGCACTTCTGCCCACCTCTCTGCTCAGTACTCTCATGGTGACGCAAGGCAAGGGAGAAGGGGAGGCTCTGGCTGCCATCTGTGCCTCCCACTCTTCCCAGTCCTGTCAGCTTCCAGGACCATCATCAAATCATTTTCCCTTAGCCCCCAGACCAGACCACAGACTTGATCACTTCCCAGGTCTTTTTGGGGATCAGGACTTGATCTCAAAGATTATCCAATCCTACATCCAATTCTTCATATTCTTATACAGCAGCCCAGCACATGGTCACCTAGGCTCCACTTACATGCCTCTAGCAACAGGGTACTCACTACCTCCCAAGGTAGCCCCCTTTGCCCTCACGTTTACACATTCTTTCTCACACTGAGCTGAAATCTCCTCTGCGTCTGCTGCATGCTGGCCTTGAGAGCCACACAGCAAAGTCTCATTCCTCTCGTCTTCCATGCCAGCCCCACAAATATTTGAAGAAAACAATCCAGTCCTGCTCATTCTTCTCTTCATTATATCAGAACAACCCTAGAGTCTCAAGGTGTTGTCCAGGGCCTCTGATATCCAGATCCCTGTCCATCTAGGTTACACCCAAATACAGACACATCTCAATCTGTCACTGTCCTTCCACCCCAAATGGACCACAGTCCTCAAAGAATGATTTGATGGCACAGAGCAGTCTAGACCAACAACACACCTCTATTCTGACTACTCAATACATTTTTAAAAATTTATTTATTTTAAGTAGGCTCCATATCCAATGTGAGGCTTGAACTCACGATTCCAAGATGAAGAGTTGCAGGCTCGGGTGCCCGGGTGGCTCAGCGGTTTAGCACCTGCCTTTGGCCCAGGGCGTGATCCTGGGGATCCGGGATCGAGTCCCACATCAGGCTCCCTGCATGGAGCCTGCTTCTCTCTCTCTCTCTCTGGGTCTCATGAATAAATAAATAAAATCTTAAAAAAAAGAAAAAAGAGTTGCAGGCTCTACGGACTGAGCCAGCAAGGCACCCCTCGATACCTTTTAAAGCAGCAGAAGAGGCTAAAGAGTGGCTGCTGGTCAGACACTGAAAGCTGGTACCGTGCTCCACAAGCACAGTAAAATAGCCGCCCCTCCCGAATCAGGACCTGTCTGTTTCGTGGTAAATATCAAACTATATATATATTTTTTTCTCCAAAAATCTGTGCCGGGATCCCTCAGCCTGTGAAAGAGCATCACACAAGCCTCTCCTCTACCCTGATCAAACACCGCTGGGCCCCAGCTTGGGCACATCTGCTGCGAGTCCAAGTGACAATGGGAGAAAAGATGACAGCATGAACCCCATAAACCAACAGAGATGGTAGGCCCACCGCCTCCTGCGGTAACACAGCACAGCGCCCGCTGAGTTACAGACTTCTGACATCTGCTCCGAGTGTCAAGAGCAGGGGGAAAGGTGAGGCAGGTACTAAAGCCGTGAACCATCCCCAGGTGCCCCCAGAGCTCCAAACGGAGGCCCCAGACCCAGCTTCTGCACTGCCCGGAACAGACAGTCCACAGGCCAATCCACCTCTGGGCCGACTCAATTTTCTAGTTACCGATCTTAAGTACTTAGGCATGTGCTCACAGAACATACATCCCTTACAGGGAGCTGAGAAAGGGAATTGTGCTGAGGAACAGAATAATTGAATCAAGATTTCTGTCACGCGGCTCTCAGGCCCTAGACCATGGGCTTTTTTTTTTTTTCTTCCCCCTTTCCTGACCACGGTCTTACAAACTCCCAGGGGTTCGTTTCTCCTCTCAAACCCATTAACGTCAGCCACACTGGCAGCCCATCCAGGGAACGGAGAGCCAGGTTAAGGTAGGGCCCTGTCCAGGACAGAGACCCAGGCAGCAGGCGCACACAGGGGTTGAGAAAAATCAACTGGGAAGATTGTCATCTTTGTAATCCCGGAGAGGCCAGGGGACTCCTTCCTTCCAGGCCCAAGGGCAGAGATGAGATGATTAATTTCCTCAAACCGCTCCCCCACCACCACTGCTGGAGGCCCTCTGGGAGAGTGTGCACAGTCCTTCAAGAACCCACCTGCTGACCACCTCTGCCCCCGTGTGCCCTCCTCAGTGCAGGGCACCCAGCTTTCCCTCTCTTCCCAGGAGCCCCAGGAGAGGGTGCGCTCACATCCTGCATACCCTGCCCCCAGGCATCAGATCAGCACACAGGGCTTCTTATAGACCACAAAGCTCAGGCCACATGGGTTCTGCTAGGCCCACTTTCCTCCACCCAAGGGGTGAAGATGAGGGCAGGCTAGCGGGAAATCCGCAGGCCCAGCCAGCACCCGGCCTGCCCCTCCCAGAGCACGCAGCCCCTTCCCGGGCCACCCCGCCTGGGAACTCAGGCGCCGGGCAGGCAAACAGTGGCTCTTGGCTTCCACCCCTGACTCATTGCCCCCAGAGCAGATCCCGTTGGTCCCTCCAGCACAGGGCCGGTGGGCGTCTCTTACCTTCATCTCTCTTGCGCTTGTTGGTGTCGGCGCTGGGGGAGGTGATGCCCAGGATGCCGCTGATGGAGTACGAGGAGCCGGCCGAGTCCGTGCTCACCGACGACACCTGCGTCACCGAGCCCGTGGACACTGCGCAGAGGGAGAGGGGCGGTCAGGGCCGGCGGGGCCGTGGGGCGGCGCTGCGGGCCGCAGCGGGAACAAAGGCGCTCACCCTCCACCGGGATGCGACGCCTGCCCAGCCGCGGGTGCAGACGCAAGTGCGTGCGGAGACGCTCGCCCTGTAGCAGTGGCTACACCTGGGCATAGGAGCGGCCCTTGGGGGCCATTTGCCCAGGTGTTCTGCTGCTGTGTGTGTGTGGGGGGGGGGATTGCTGGGCAACTAGGAGGCCTGGTGGTGCAGAAGGGAACACAGGAACGTGTCAGAAGGGCACTAGCTCAAATTCAGGCCTGTCCAAGGGTGCAGGAAGCAGGGGACTAGAGGAGAGAGACAGGGAGAGGGGAGCCGGGCCCCACCAGCAGCCAGTGCTAAAAAAAAAAAAAAAAAAAGACTTAGACTACACTACTCATTAGACAGGTAGATTCCCTGTACACATCCACCCATCCATGCAGACATAAATACCTGCACACTCATACACTCAGCCAGCAAAACTCCAAATGGCAAACTGTTCCTTCTTTTTATAGTTCCTCACTGTCTTTTCTCCTTCCAGTTCACCTGGATTTCAATATGTCATGTTAATTATGTAATAATGATATGATGTATAATAGAATATGTACTCCCACATACATAATATATATTGATATATGGAATAATGATTAACATTTTCTGAGAACTTACTCTGTGCCAGGCATTACCGAGGCATTATTTTGTTTAATTCTAAGAACAACCATACACAAGGGAGGCGATGTCATCTCCTGGGAAAGATAAGGGCTCAGGTAAGGCTCAGAGAGAGGAAAGTGACTTGCCCAAGGCCACAGGACTGAGTCACTAAAGTCTGAACCCCAGAGTAATCCGTTTCTCGTTAAGTAATCATGAAAAACAGTAACATGCTTCCCAGTAATGCAGTGTTTTTCATTTGATGGTTGCAACAACCTAAAGTGCTATTATTCTCCTCATTTGATGAATGAGCCTCCACAAGGTGAAATGATTTGCTCAGTGTTATCTAGCCGGTAAGCAGTAGCACTAGGATTTAGCTTCCAGTCTACTGACTTAAAGTCTAGTTTTCCCCTATCCAGAAATGTGGGCCAAGGTTAGTGACTTATTGTGTGTGGCTGAGGCCAGGTCTCTCTATTCCTCAGGAAAAGCAAGGGGGAGGGGAGGTTTTGTGCAAGTTTCACTTTAACTCCTAAGCCCAGAATCCAAGGGAAAGACCAGTCAGTCGTCAGGGTCCTCCCAAGCTATACAGCTGAATTTCCATTTCTGAGCTGTGGGAATTCTTTCTTGGTTCATTAAAACCTACAAACCAATCTCAGACACATTTCCTTGGGCTATAACTAGCTGGAGGCAGGTGGAGCTGCCTTTGACTCTAAAGTGTAGGAAATTACTAGAAATGGTGGTGATTGCGTGAGAAGCTGTTTGTTGCTTTCCTTGGAGCATATCCAGCTCTTGCTCCTACAGACCTAGAGGGAACAGTGCCTTTCTTCTCATATCTGAGTTAGATTTTAGATCTTCCTTAGGAGACACAGAAGTAGAAATCGTTAACTTCTCTTTTCCTTCACCAGAAGAAGCTCCTCAAAATAGATTTATGCAAATCTCACAACCTTTTCTGTATTAAGGTGCAAAGAACAGAGGAAGAAAGAAGATCACAAGTCATTCGGTACTTTAAAAAACAACAACCACATATAACCAAGGCTCGCCATGTTGCTGACAGAGCCAATGCTATATTGTGACTGCACTAAACTAGGACCCAAGTTCTTATTCTGACTCCACCACTTAACGAGCAGTGTGCCCTTGGGCTAGTTATTAAACCACTCAACTTCCATTTCCTTACCCAGCAACAAGTTTGTAAACTATCAGGGGCTGTACACATATATGATAAGTTTTTCATAAAAATTTCTGAGACAAGACAAAGCATTCTGCTGACCTACAAGTAGAATTGTTCCTCTAACCCAACTACAAGAATATTATCAGGTACTCTTCGTCTGCTATTCATTGTTCCGTGATCTGAAATAGTTCAAGCTACAAGTGAAATCTCAGCCACAAACATTTCCCCAGAAACTCTCCTCAACCCTCTTCACCTCAGTTCAACCAGCTTCACCTCTGGCTCACACAGCACCGTGTACTTTCTTCTTGAGCCTTATCTCAGTGCTGTGCCAACTTCTCTTCACTAAGAGAATTCCAACTTCTCTTCACTAAGAGAATTCCCCCATTAAACTGAGAAGCCCTTGAGAAAAGGAATTTGGTCCTGCCTCCTTTAAAATACTAGCCTCTTGGGCAGCTCAGGTGGCTCAGCGGTTTAGCGCTGGCTTCAGCCCAGGGTGTGACCCTGGAGACCCGGGATCCAGTCCCATGACCGACTCCCTGAATGGATCCTGCTTCTCCCTCTGCCTGTGTCTCTGCTTCTCTCTCTTTCTCTCTCTCTCTGTCATGAATAAATAAATAAAATCTTTAATAAAATAAAATACTAGCCTCCTGCAAAACAGGGGCTTGGCAAACACTTTTTGAATAGACTACTAAATAAAGAATTGTTTTAGAGGTGCCTGGGTGACTCACTTGGTTATGCATCTTCCTTCTGCTCAGGTCATGATCTCAGGGTCCTGGGTTCGAGCCTTTTCCCTCTGCCTCTGGCCCTCCCCCTGCTCATGCTCGTTCTCTCTCAGTCTCTCTCTAATAAATAAATAAAATCCTTTTTTTAAAAAAAGAATTATTTTATGGGAGGGAGGAATTCTCTCTTACCTTTATCCAAAGAGGCAACCATGAAGATTCAGAAACCTCAGGGAGCACCTAGTGTGTGCACTTCAGTCCACAAATGGGGAAACTGAGGCTCAGAGCAGTGAAGGGATACACAATTCACTGGATGAGTTAATGGGAGAGCTAGAAGTATAAGCCCGGCCTCTGTCCAAACCCCATCACCACAGAGAGTTCAAGTTTTCAGTTAAAGAGGGAGTGACAAAGATGTGGAAACGTTACACAGTCCAAAGCATTATGAAGTGACAGTGATAGGCACTGTCAGAGGTTTACTGAATGGTCACCATGTTCCTATAGTAGAATAACCTTCCCCCCAGAGGTGTTTCCTTTATCCCAAGTGGTGAAATAATGCACCTTAACGAGACACATGTCACTGTCATCTCACAGTCTTTGAGGCGAAGGGAAAGGCAGGGAAACCTCTGAACTCTTCAATAGAAGGAAATAGGACCCCCATGCTTACACGTCACGCTCACTCAAACTATCTCCCGTGAGTGTCAAAAACCCCACTGGCAGCCCCTGACAGTTCATGGAGTACATGAGACTGAAGCAAGAGAGGGAGAGAGAGAGAAAGTTTGGGAAGTTTTGCCACATCTTCACTCAAGACTGCAAGTGCACAAAGAATTGTAGAAGGGCTGGTTGATAGAAGAAAAAAACACATTCAAAACTACTTACTGACTAATGATGCAGAAAATGTTATGAATAAGTATCCCTTTCTTGATTTATTACTTTAATTATCTGACATTCTATAGACCCCCATTAGTGGATTTTTTTTTTTGGCTTAGATTTCAATTTTCTGTCTCATGGTGAAAGCTATTTATCATAATAATCAGTAAAATTCAAAACCTTTTAGCAGTATTTATAAAATTCATTTACCAGGTTCAGCCCTTGGAGAATGACAAAGAAGGCGCATTAGTACGTGTGCCGAAGTGTTTTATGCAGAATTATCTGTCCATAAGAATGATTAAAAGTTCTTTAGAATATTTGGAACCCATTAGATTTTTAAATTTTTTTAAAAAGTTCTTCTTACCTATGCTGTGACTGGAAGCTGGGACCGGCTGGTTCGGTGGTTGCTGTACTTTTGTCCGGATGATCCTGTGGACAATTGGGAAAAAAAATAAATGGCTATTTACCATCATGGAGAAGATATCCTGACTAGCTATGCACAGACATCCAGAAAAGCAATATCAAGCTGGGGCAGAGGAGGAAGGGGGTTATGACCGCAGATTGGGAGTTAGGGGGTTAGAAGAGCTATGGACTAGTCCCAACTCAGCCCCTACCTCCCTGGGTGTCTTTGAATAACCTGCAGCCCTCTCTGGGATTCACGTGCACCTTCTGTAGAAAAAGGATGATATGTTAATATTACGAGTGGGCATCTTTTTCTCTGGAGCAGCTGCAGCTCCAGAAGGAACTCCCTGAGTGTCATTAGGGAGTTTCTTCCCTTCCCTGGACCTCTGCCCCTGCCCTCAGTGGAATGACACTGAACCAGGTGACCTCTCTGTTCCCTGGAGACCCACATGCTCTGTTTCTCTGCCTTAGACAGCCACAGGAGGAGTCACAACCCCACCCATTCAAAATTACTAAGGAAGCAGATGTGTGTTGCTCTGATCCTAAAAAGGGTTAAAGTGCTGCCAGGACATACCTAGTTGGCTTTGCTAAGAGGAACCCTCCAAAGCTGCCTTGTGTAAAATCTCCTGGTTAGGCTCCAACAGGGCCGGGAGCCAGGGGTGTCCTGGCCTGTCTTTCCAGAGACCTTGCTCTAGTTCTAATATGATGAACATTATTGTGACCCTGGGCAAGTCCATTCCGCTGTGGGCCTTTGATATAATGAGAGAATTGGAACAGACCACACTAGTTACTTCAAGTAATTAAATCGTTTTTTTTTTTTCAGGGGGAGGGAAATCTTGCAGAAAAACCCACTGTATAAATGAGGTAATAATGGTACTGCCTTCTCTTTGCACCTGGCAGCTCTGGTGTTTCTCTGCAGAATGTTGGGCTTTGGGAAGCTCAGTCTGTAAATTTCTATCTGGAAAAACACACTGATATGGGTCTCCTCCGTGGGACCCCAAGCCCTGTTTGTGTCACAGGGTAACCAACGGGGCCTGACCAAAAGCCCCTGTGGGGTCTACAGGAGAGTTCCTTCCCTGGTATTTGGGAGAAGGGTGGGTGGTAACAAAATGCTCAGCTTCTTTGGAAAAGTTGTCCTCCAGCCTTCAACTATTACCTTCTTAAAAAACACTTATTAGAGCTTTTCTTAATTATAAAAGCACTTTGTGCTCATTGTAGACTATTGGGACAATAAATATAAAGAAGACATCTAAAAATCACATTTTAGTATATGCTAATCACATTTCCTTCATGCTAACATCTCTATGCATATTAGGAAATATTCATTTTCTATTAGCAAAGTCAATACTAAATCACACATACAGTTGGTATCCCGCTCTCTTCACTCAGTGTCTTATGAGGGGCTTTTTCACATTCCAGACCGTTATTTCTGGAAGTTCAAGTTTCAAGGTGCAATGGGTCTGCAGCTTATACAAATGGGGAGCAGTGAGGATGCCCTCACTGGGTATGGCCTCTGCCTTCCGGGATCTCACAGCTCATCGGTGGGCACCCAGGCAGCTCAGCACGCTCGGCTGAGAGCCTGCAGCGGACATTTCTCTTCACACCACAGCCCAACCACAGGTCCTCTGGAGTCCAGGCCCCTTGAGCCTCCAGGGTTCCTCGCCCTTTTCTATGAGTCAGAGTGAGTGTTGCATCAAATGCATTCAGTGTGCATGTGTGTGTTTTCTCCAATATTCCAACCACTTATTTTAACCAAGCAAACGTGGAGCACATTGACAAGGACCTGGAAGTGAGGTAGTCTTTTGGACCACTTGGAATTAAGCTAAAATCTGATCTAATTTTTGTATCTTTGTGTATGTCACCTTCTCTGTGGATACATGTGTGTTTGTTTACAGAAATATGCTCAATGAATATATGGATATATAAGATATAATCTGTGTTAACGGTTTATGTATATACAAAAGTATGGTAAAATATAAGAAATATTTCCTATATTTTCCAGCATAAAGTCCTAACTTTTAGAAGTATTGTCTAGACCTTAAATTTAAGCAAAGAAAATTATATGTCCCTTATTTTTCTTTTAAAATATTTATAAATCATTCAGTAAGACATTATCAATTGTTATAAATCATTGAGAGGCAGCTGCAGTGTATTGATTAAATACACAGACTCCAGAATCAGACTACTAGAATTTGAATTCCAGTTTTCCAGTTTTCCAGCTGCATGGCCTGGAGTAAATTACTTAACCTCTCTGTGCCTCAGTTTCTTATCTGCAAAATGGGACCAAGAAGTGTTCCCACCTCATAGGGTTCTTATGAGAATTATACTAATTATTTAGAATAGTGGCTACGGCCTAGGAAATTCTCTACAAATGTTAGCTATTATTTTCAGTTGTATCTTCATAATGACTAAAGACCAGCTTCAACCTTAAAAGGTTCACATTTTCCACAAATCCCTGAAAAACATAGGGGATCCCCCTTGGGAGCTGGGAAGGGGAAAGGAGACATCCCCACACCCTATTTTAAGGCCGTTGTGGGGCCATCCTTTATAGGCGAGACCAGAATATAGGGAACCCTCCAAAGCCTTCCCCAGGGATAGAGATTTTGCCCATCTGCTTGCAGCAGCTGCCAAAAAAAAAAAAAAAAAAAAAAGAACAAAGAGCATTATCTTCCACTGAGAAGAAATGGTAGTGGGAAGAACAAGATTAATTGAATCCTAGCAATTCTTTAAAATTTTAAAATTAACAAGCAATCATCAAAACTTGTCACAATAAGAGTCATACTCCGGACCTTTTCTAAACCAGAGACAGTCTGGCTAACTGGCTCTTAACACTAAAAAGTGTATAGCCTCTACTCTGCTGAGCATGAGCATGACCCTGGGTGCCATGTGAACCTCCTAGACATCCAACAAGGAAGAGAGTTCAGCAATCAACCAATTCCTCCAAATTAGGAAACCAAAGCCCAGAGTGCTCAAGTGACTTGCCCAGGGTAACACAGCAGGTCAGCCCAGACTCCGGGTCCCATGCCTGAGCACTTTTCTTTGAACCACATTCAAAGGAAAGGGCCCCTCTGCTAAATATTTCTATGAGACACATAAAGCCTATTTGGATTCCAAATCCATTTAGCAACTGAAGGACTAAAGTCCTAGGGACTTCAGGCATTACAGGCATTTGTAAGGATCTGATCTCAACATTATCGTCACTTCTTTGAAAGGCGAGGTCTTCCCAGATATATCCCCTCATTGCCCCCCTACACACACACACACAATTACACTGAAAGAGACAATCATGGCACCTTTAAAAAGGAAATAGGAAGATAGGACTGAAAAAAAATAAAAATAAATTTAAAAAAATTTTTTAAAAAAAGGAAGATAGAACTGAAGAGATACCCACATCTACGGCACTAATCGAACTGCCACTGGTGCAGTAAGAATCTTGGGCCATCAGCTGTGCTAAGAATCCACAACCAAGGATCCAATTGGGCCATGCTGGCAGAGGCCCACAGGTGACATGCAGGCAACTGACGCAGAGAAGAAAGAGGGAATGGGAAAACAATTTCACAAGTCTTGCTGCCCAAGTTCAGATGAAGAGTAGAGTTTACAAACTGTCATCCCTCAGGCCACATCCATCCAGGGACAAGCTTTGTTTGGCCTGCACGGTATTTGTTTTTATTTGAATTAGTTTCCAGTATTTGCAAAGTGGGAGTTTTTGCATAAATACATGGATTTGTAGCTTCTTTTGAAAAATCCTTACACCTAGCTATACTGAGCCCACCGTCTCCCATGACAACAACCCGTTGTGTGAACTACCACTGTCCTTCTAAGTGGGAATGCCATTCACGACGCCCACCACTTGGCCCCTGATTTAGAGCCATGGAACTTGAACAGAAGGCAGGTTCCATGCCACCCATTTCCGTCAGCTCTTGGGCAGTCACCTCCAACGGCCACTCGGGCTGGATTCTAAAAATCCTTGATGCAGCCTGTGCAGCATCCCAGCACTTATTTGTCCTTAGGAGACCACATAAATGTCATGGTTTGTGTCCTAGGAAATCTCCCACATGCTCAGCAGAACAGGTTTTGTGGCGCTTAACTCCATGACAGTCATGGCTTCCTGGGTTGGCTCCCAGAAGACAGCGGGAAGGCAGATACTTGTGGGGGTGGACAGTGGAAAGGACACGGTGGCCACTGAAATAGCTACAAATCCAGCCACCACTCCCTCCTTAGCTGTTAGAAATAGGGGAATGGTGAGAAGTTGCCCCCAAGGGAGCCAGGGGCTGGGAGAGGAATCTCTGGACTCTCATACCAGGACATCTGCAAGACAGTTATTTAGAAACTGCATCCATTTGAACGAAGCACAACCTTGCCTTCATGTGGAAAATAAAACTGCCTGCTGAGATGGCTGGGCTTTCTTGGGCAGCGGGGGGGGGGGGGGGGGACAGGCAGCAACAGTGTCCCACACCTCATTTATCTGCATTGCTGGATTGGTTCGCTAAAGAGCAGTAAAAGCTCTGAGTCAAGAGTGGAGGAAGGAGCCAGAGTGCTCTCCCAGAGAAGAGCCCCCCCTCCAGGGTGTGCAGGAGAGGGCTCTGAGTCACAGAGGGAGCTGCAGGCTGGCAGCAAAGCACAGAGTGCATGGAGGCGGAGTAGGAATGACTGTTTTACTCCTCCTGGCTTCTCTTCCCTCTTCAGTTCCGTCACTGGCAAAGTCCTACAGAGCAGGAGCAGCGGCAAGAGGCAGGCCCTCCTCTTACCATCAGGGGTCCCAGGCTCTACTCCTAGCTCTAACCTCAAAATCATCATTCCTCTACACTCCCCTTCTGGGCCTCAGTTTCCATACCTGCCACAGAACAGAGTTAAGCCTTGAGGGCTATAGGAGACCACAGATGTGAAAACACCTCAGAGGCACAGCCACCGCTGAGGACACCCAGGAGGCCCCGAGGCTAGCCGTGGCCCCAGCAACTAGCAACCAGCAGGCAGAGCTGCACGGAGCAGCTCCAAGCACAAAGCATCAGCTGGTCCCTGGTCTCCCTAGACACCCATTCAAGTACCCCTCACAGCCTTCACCACCCCTGTCAAGCTACTGTGTTCCATTTATTTCATATGTTCCTTTCAAATAACTTATTTTTTGACTTAAACAGATTTATTTTCTGAGGCATTTCTAGCTCTTTACTATAAATGGGAGGGCTAGTCCATTAAAGTTCACACTGACCAGCTTGGTGTTCTAGTTATATTTTTCTAAAATACATTAAAATTAATTCATTATAAAATCATTTTCATCCTGTATTACAGAAAATATAAGCTGGAGCCCTGCAAATGATTATGCTTATCCTGTAAGGCTTTTTTTTTTCTTCCTGAAATTAGTTGCCACCATTTAGAAATACGGGGATTTTATATACACCAACACACCCGCATACATGCACACACAAATCCTAGTTTCAAGATCCTCTTAAAGGGTAGAAAAATTCTGGGTGTTTGGTGACTCAGTTGGTTAAGTGTCCAACATCTGCTCAGGTCATGATCTCAGGGTTCTGGGATCGAGTCCTGGGTCTGCTTTTCCCTGTGTCCCTACCCCTAGCTCATGTTCATTTCTCCATCTCGCTCTCTCTCATTTTCTCTCTCTCTCTCTCTCTCTCTCTCTCTCTCTCATTCTCTCTGTCTCTCTCTCTCTAAAAATAAATAAATAAAATCTTAAAAAAAAAAAAAGAGTGGAAAAATTCTGGCAAACACTGGGCCTGCATTCCCGGCAGCATTCAGCCGGAGCTAAGAAGGACCTGCCCCTGCAATACTGCTGTGATGTCTGGTTTGCCACAGCCCCAACCTTTCCCTGTCACCTCACACGTAGCCTGACTTGCTTATGTTACTGCTTGGCCACAACAAGCATTAGAGTTTGGGATCCCCTTGGGCAACTTAAAGGTATCTTTCAAACTACCAATTACATGTAGGCCCTACACTGGGAAATCCGTGGGCCCCCAGGGCCTGGCCATGGGTTTGGCAGAGGTTTCCTCTGCAGAGCAGGCTCCTGCCACTTCATTGCTATAGGAACTGTACGCCTCACTCCACGTTAGGGTTTTTGGAGACATGGGGGAAAGTCATGTTGCTTTGTGTGATGGAAATCCTGCAATGAGCCAGAAGTAGGAGACTCACGAAGCACATCGGAGCCCCTCGTAATCCAGAAACAGGAGCATCCCTCCACCCCCCGCCCAAAACCTACCACAATAGTTGTTACCTTCTCAGCTAACTCGGGCTGACCAGACCTCTAATATGCACCCGATTCCCATCCTAGACAAGGAAGCCCCTCTAGAACAGAGACTAAGAGACAGTGTGCCCAATTCCCCTCTCTCTTCTCAGCACCTTGCAGGATGTCTGGGCCAAGGTAAAGATTTGCTGAGAGAAAGAAAACAGGCTAACGGTAATGAAACAGCAGGACTCAGAACATCAACACACACTCTCATACAGTGATTCTGTGCATTTGAGTCAACAAAGAAGAAACCACCACCGGGCCCGGAAGGGATCGCTGAGACTTTCTAGTCTAACCACCTCCTTCAGCCAGGGGTCAGGGGTCTCCTACGCCCATTCAGGCTCTGTCCTGACAAGGGGCAGGTGTGACCTCGGAGAGATGGGAACTGATTATGTTTTCAGTCTGCTGGCTTCTCTCTCTCTCTCTTTTTTTTTCCCGTGGAGTTTAAACAACAATCATTTCTGTTTATCTCACAACTCCATCCTTGACTTCTGTGGGTTTAGATGGAATTGAGACTGCATCATCTACAACAGAAAACTTTCTTTCAGGAATTCTCCCCCTCCTTTTTTAAAGATTTTATTTATTTATTTATTTATTTATTTATTTATTTATTTATTTATTAATGAGAGACACAGAAAGAGGCAAAGACACAGGCAGGGGGAAAAGCAGGTGCCCTGTGGGGAGCCCGATGCAGGACTCGATTCCAGGACACTGGGATCATGACCTGAGCTGAAAGCAAATGCTCAACCTCTGAGCCACCCACGTGCCCCTTTCTCGGGAATTTTTTAAAGCTCTGAGAGCCCATTTAGATACATCCCAGATCAGATTGTGGAGAAGAAGGTGCCTATGTGGCTCCCAGAAAGATCCCATGCCTGGGGATGGAACCTACTCATGCTATTTCTCTGGTTCTTTCTCTCTGTGGGTGACACTGAGGGTAACAGGGTAGAGGGCAGCCCCCTAACTCCACAGCATCTTAGCGTCCTAGATGTCACTTTTGGAGATCACAGACCCACATCAGAACCTCCAAGGTGTGGGACTCTCAAAGAGAGGAGGAGCTTTGTCAGGGCCACACTTGGAGTTCCCGGCAGAGCTGGGACAAAGAACTAAATCTCCCAACTTTAAGTCCAGGCTCGATTTTCGAGCCACTCCATGGCTCAACCTCTGCCCAAACTGAAGACAGGGATTTTCTTCCTGGGAAGCTCTGATATAGGCCAGTGCTAAGACTTTGAGCATGGGCTTACAAGGAAGTGACATTTGTAGGGCCCGATTGGGACAATTCACAGCTAGGTGCTCCCCACACAGAGGCAGGTGGTAAAGGGAGAGATAAAAAATCACTCTGGGATCAGAAGAATCTGAAGCAGCCTGGATACTGACATGGCTTTCCCTCCCCAGGCCTAGAACTCCTGTGCACTTTGGAAAGACAAGAATGGCAATAGAGAGACCCACCAAGCCCCATTAGCACCCCTCCTGTCTGATACAACTCTTTAGGGGCCTTGATGAATGGAGAGACCAGATCTTTTGGAAAGGCACCCACAGAGCCTCCAGAATGCCCCCACTCCCCCCAGATCCCTAGTCCCCCAAGGCACCAACCCCTCACCTGTTGATGGAACTGACGCTGGGCACCGTGTCATTGTCACACACACGTTCCGCCAGCAGCCGGTCCCTGATCTCCCAGGCAAACATGGTGGGATTTTGGCGTTTATACTCAGCGATTTTTTCCACCACTTTGGGCGTGGCGACCTTTGGTTTGGATCCTCCAATTACCCCAGGCTTGATGCTCCCCGTCTCATAATACCTAGGACCCAAGGAGAAAGGAGCTTAGCCATGAGGAACGAGCAAAATGGACATTTGCAACAAAATAGTTACTCTGTCCGGAAAACATCCAGATCTGTGCTGTCCAATTCAGCATCCACTAGCCATATGGGGCTTCTGAACATTTGAAATATGACTCATTTGTTGTTGATTTTTTTAAAGATTTTATTTATTTATTCATGAGAGACACAGAGAGAGAGGCAGAGACACAGGCAGAGGGAGAAGCAGGCTCCATGCAGAGAGCCCGACACGGGACTCGATCCTGTCTCTCCAGGATCACGCCCTGGGCTGAAGTCAGCCCCCCGGGCTGCCCAATATGGCTCATTTGAATTGAGGTGTGCTATAAGTGTAAAATACACACCAGACTGTCAAAACTTAGTAGAAAAACAGAACATAAAATATCTCATTAATAATTCTTATATTGGTTACATGCTGAAGCAATCACATTTTTCACATACTGGGTTAAATAAAATATGTAAAATTAATTGTACCTGTTTTTTTCCCTTTTTTTAATGTTACCAGGAAGTTTTAAATTTCAAACGTGGCTCACGTTGTATTTCTATAGGACAGTGTTGGTCCAGATGCTATGCATTAATTCATTAATTAATCTATCACATTTATCTACCATTTTACAGTTTACAGAAAACTTTCAAGTCAGTCCTTCCCATTTGATCTGCACAACAGTTCTAAAGCACATAGATGTTTTGAACAAATTAATGAAAAATGAATGAATGGGTCCCCATCCATAGGCATGAAACAGAGATCCATAGAGGTTAAACGGCCTGTCCAGGGTCACACAAGACCCACTAGCCAAACCAGGATGGAGGCCCAGCCTCCTGAGCTAAAATTTCCCCAGAAAGTTGGCTTGTACCTTTAATTTACCAGCACTCACATCCCCTAGCAGATTCCATCTGCATTCTGTGAAAATGTCCCCTAAAATACATGGTTTTTTGCCTTAAGATTAATATGACAACCCTGGTATAAAATTAAAAGGAGTGTTGCATTCCAGAATTAACTGGAAATATGTGTTACATATAAGTAAAAACCCAAGCAATCAAAAAAAGCCAACCACAAGTCACTGCAGCTCTTTCAGGGACCTCCCCTGAGGTAAATCGCTGTTTCTAAGGACATTTCCATGCTATCAGCTCTTCCTCGTTAACACAAATAGGATGTCAGGGTTTTACAGTAAAACCGAGACCGGGGAGAAGAGTGCCGTGAAAGATCATTTCAGGGGAAAAAAATTACTTGATTCCTTTTCTGAATCTGAGCCTTTGCTGGATGTCTCTCAACATTTACAGAGGAATTCTTGACTTCTCTTGCAAAGGAGATTATCTTGCTGTTGAGAATTTTTCTAGCAAAGGAGACATTTTAGAAACGACTGGTAATTTTTTTTCAAGTAAACTCTGCACCCAACATGGGGCCGGAACTCACAGCCCCGAGATCAAGAGTCGCACACTCTACCAATTGAGCCAGACAGGCACCCCTATGACTGGTAATTTTTCAACCTAGCAAGAGTTTATAATAGGTAAGAGAAAGAGGTGATTCTCCTCTGGGAAGAATGGGGAGTGTCACCCAAGAACAATGACTAGTTACATTTAAAGAGATGCTGAAATTCTCAGCCTGGGCAAATCTAGTTAGGGCCAAGTTAGTGGATAGTCTAGAAACAGATGAAATAATTTGGGAACAGTGATACAGAAGTGGAAATTCTGTTTTTCACTGAGAAGAGACCATAAGGCAAAACCCAACCTATCCTCCTTCTTTCTGTAATTACTGAAACACTATTATTAGTGACAAACAGGCTTTAAGATCCAAGAAATTTTTACTTTGCCAGAAGTTTAGAAAGGTACCCAAATCAAGGCACACAGCAATTTCAGCAGCTTCCAATTTTGCGATAAAAAGTCATTTGTTACTATCAACACAGTAACCCCTTATTTTAGGCACAGTCCTCTAAAGTTTACCGAGCTCTTCCTCAAATTATCTGGATCCTCACATCAATCCTAAGGGGCCAGCAGGGTTTTATGGAAGGGGAAGCTGATGATTAGAAGAATAACTGACTTGCCCAACTCCCTTCTGGAAGTTAGAGGAAGTCAGCTCTCAGATCTGATTCGGAATCCAGTGCTCTTCCCACTAGGGCAAACTGTGAAAATGGAAACAATAATGATGATGATGACCCCTGGCCACTGTAGAAAGTTTTACCGTTCACCAGGCAGTTCACCTGCATCTTTGCATTCATTCACTCACTCACTAGCCACCGAGGGCCTGTGAGGACAGGCACTGTCTGGGGTGGAGGTTACAGACACACAGACAATCTTGTGCCGACTACTTAAAACGTAGGAGTGGAATGGGAATGCGGTGTTGGCACAGCAGCTGGGAGAGCATCCCCCACAGCGCCCGCCCCCCTTGTCTGGCGGGCGGTGGCAGCACCCAGGGCTCTCCACCCATCTCACCTGAGCAGCACCAACCACGGCAGGCCGTGGCTTGACAAGGGACGTCTCTGTCTGCCTTTTGACTGACACATCAGCCAGGCCCTTAGAAGGCAACCCTGACACCCCAGGGGAGACCCCATTTGGCAACTGCATAAAGTGAGGAATCAGACTGAAGAACCGCTCTTTCATCTCAGCAGAATAGCCATGCAGCATTTTGGCTTCCACACAACAGACAGACGGCGGCCGCCAACAGACGGTGTAGTTCGGTGCAAAACACCGAGTAAAAGCTGGAGTAAAGGGCTGGGTGTGTTAGTCAGGGTGGCTGACACTAATGAGCTGTGTGACCTTGGCCAAATCACTTAGCCTCTCTGGGCCTCTGATACCCCATTTGTATAAGGGGAGGGCGTTTGCCCAGCCTGCCTCACAGGACGCAGGCAGAAACGCAGAATGGTTAAGAAAAAGCTCTGCAAAACCTAAAGAGCACGTGTTGCGGATTAAAATCCTCTGAGTGTTTATTACTGTGTAACATGCCACCCAATTGCAAACGGCCTGAACCTCCCAGCCAGGCTCCAGTGAAAGAAGACAAGAGCCAGGCTTTCTGGGTGGATTTAAATGGGCCTCACATGCCACCAGGCTGTGCCTCTCGAGCCCCTCCTGAGCCTCGAGCTCTGCGGACTGAATGCCCACACTCCTGGCAAACCGCCACCTTCCCAAGATGATGGGGTCTCTGCCTGCCCCAGGGACTCTGCCTGCCTTGTCATGCAGCCTCTGAAAACCACGGCCACCACACACAGCACACTCTCTATAATCTGTCACTCCGAGTGTGCCCATCAAATTCTTCGGTGACCAAAAAAAAAAAAAAAGTCGGTGGATGGAACAGCCCCAGTTCAGAAATTCCCAGTCACACTGTTTTAGGGCTGAACTTGTTTCTTAAAAGGCAGTTCTAATTAGAGTGACATTTTGTCCACTGTGGTTCTTAGTTATGAAAATAATGAGCTATGAAATTCCAATTTATTGTTGACAACTTAAACGGCCAGGCACCGGAGCGGCGCATAACTTCCGAGTGCCACTCTACCTAGTGACAAATCTATTCTGGGCCTCGGGAGGCTGCCGGCTGGACCTGGGAGGGTCCTCGTCCCCTTCAGCGTCCAGGGGCGATCTGGAGGGCTCCCGGGCACCGGAACACGAGGATGGGGCATCTGGACGTCCCCTCGGAGAAGGGCTCGGCATCTCGCCCTGAGAAGATTTCAGATAGCAAGCAAGATGTCGGCTGAGCAACGATGTCTCAGCAAAAACAAAGGAAGGGCCTTCTTTTTTTCTCTCTCTCTCTCCCTCAGTGCGATGAAGAGGCTTCCCAAGAAGATAGCTAAGATCCACTTGGCAATTGAAGTCTGACACTGAGATAGTCTAAAATATTTCTTTCCTCTCTCTCTCTCTCTCTCTCTCTCTCTCCTTCTGTCTTGTCTTCACTGTTCTCTTCTAGCCTCTCTTTTTTTTTAATCAATCATTCTCTTTTCTCTTCATCTCCCTCTCTTCTCTATTTTTCTTTTATTCTCACTCTCATCCTCCTGCTTAAAACCCCCATGTAACAAGAACACCACGCTGATGTCCAGCCTTCCTCCCTGAACTCGGGCTGGGGCTCATTCGCTGCTGAGTAATAAACAGGAGTGGAGCCCAGAGTCTCCCCGGCTGAGGCCACCTGGGGTGGGCAGGGGAGAGGGGAGACACACAAGGACCAACGGCCACTAAGGGAATACCAGCTCCCCGGCCTTGAAACTCCTTCCCTTGGCCTCCAGCAAGGCTCCGCAAGGTTAGAAACTGCTGTTCCCTCCATCTAAGAGAATTTTTTAAATTCCAGCAGATGAAAGGGAGAGAGCACACAGAAAATCACAATGTCACTGACATACTTCAAAATATTTATTTTCTGCTCAGGCAACTGTTCTCAAATCATCATGCAAGCCATGAGAGCAAGGCTGTTTTCGGACCCAGGGAGAAAAATCCTGAGAAAGCACGGAACAACTCAACCTGAGAATACTCTGCCTGCCAGGGGGACCTCTAACAACTTCACGTGCCCAGAAACAAACCTGTGGCTTTGACTTTGGGGCACGGTGAGATGCCTATGGTCTAAGAGTCCTTGAGGCCTCCTGCCAGTCCGAGTACTGACTGGCTGGCTGGAGCCGGGTCAGTCCCTTGGCCTCGTAGATTTGTTTCCTCATCTTAAAATATTCTTCCCTGGATCATACTGAGGCTCTCCCGAGAAAATAAACAGGAGTGCTCAAAGGCTGGGCTATATAGCCCTCTGGGAGAATTGGCATTGTTAGTATTTTGCTGGCAGCAAATCGACAGGTCAAGTGGCAACTTTCAAATGTCAGATCTGAGAGTTAGTGTGTGTTTGAGGGTTTTTTTTTTTCTCTCTCTCTAATATACACTTAGGATGCCTGTCACTACAAAGAAAACAAAACAGAGGAGAAAAATACTACAGCCCAACATAATAAGGTTGATGATAACCCAAAGATGAAAATGACAGCTGACTCTTAAAACTGGAATGTATTTTTTGAAAACATTAAAATGAAACATTGAACCTGATAATGTGATTTTATAACCTGTGGATTTTCCATCCCGCCCTCCTCAGGCCCCGGGCTCACCTAAGATGTGTAGGGGAAATTCCCAAGAACCTCTTACTCCTGGATCCTTTGGAATAATTTACCAGGCTTTCAGAAAGCATGTCATTCCTCCTGATTGAGTCTCCCTATTCCACGTGTCACTTGAAACAGGGGTTTCCCAGGGCTACTTTGAACGGCCTTGAAAGGGCTATGCAAACTCTAAAGTACTATGCATGTTAACGAAGTGCTACCATGATTTTCAATATGTCGCGGGCACATGGGACAGCTGCTGGGTCATGTTTTCGGTCGTTAACTGAAAAATCAAGGGAAGCCTGCAGCTCCTGCCTTTACCTGCCAAGAATTTTGCTGACACAACCATGGCTGACTCGAAGCTGCCTTGAGATGTCGCAGGGCCTGACACCTTGATGAGCAAGTTCCACTATCCTTTGGCGGACTACATCCGGGAGTGGCCGTCCATTCACAAAAACCCCCCCAAGCTGATTCACTCCTCCATGTCCTGAAACAGAAACAAAAGGCGAAGGAAAGGGTGGTTAGAACCAGTCACACAGTAGTAGAAGCGCTGTTGCAAGCATCCAGAGCCCCTCTGATCAGAAATGGCCGCAGACTGGATATCTTGAGCCTAGAGTCTGATCATGCAGGCTTTATGAGCAACTCATTGCTTTTTAAAATTAACCTTTGCCTTTGTCCATCTTCACCCAGTCAATCGGGCTATTGATAACAAGCATCTCCACACTATGTTTCCTTTAGTTGCTAGCATTCGCCTTGTAATTTTTGTTAACAATGGAATATGTAAAAGACCCCAATCTATACTAGAGACACAACTTACTACAAGCATAATGCTGAGGTCGAAGGAAGATCCTGGGGAGAATATATGTTTTAAAGCACATTAATTTAAAGAGTTTTTTTTAAAAATAAAACTCTTTTCCTTTTAACAAATATCTGTAAAAGTGAAAAGGACTACTCCAATAAGCCTAGATCTTGGGGAAAAAAATGAATTGTTTATTTAAAGTCAGCAATTTGATTCAAGGTCTAAGGACTTAAAAAAATTTTTTTAAATAGTGTCTGCTCAGTACTGAAACAAAATCCAACCACTGCCTTCACAAAAACCCTTTCTTTAAAAAGATGTGGCTCATCCCTCAACAAGGGGAAAAAATAAACAAAAAAGGTGAGGCTGAGATGCAGACTTGCCCACTGTACCCTCTCAGAGCACACAAAAGAAATGGGTCAGAGGATCACATTCCACTCTATCCCATCAGGATCTGTTATACAGGAGTTTCCCTGGAATTTCTGAAATGTTTTGCCATTGAAAAGCAGCTTTAGGTTGGGGGGGGGGTTCGGTGGTGAGAATAAAGAAGCTGGAGAAGGCTTCCGAGTCCCAGGTTTTACAAGGGCTCTGAGATGGATTTTAAGCAAAAGGAGTCAGGGAAAGTATCTTCTCCACCCAACAAGCTCCCTTCTCTTACATCAAAGTCCATCTGAAGGGAAACAGGGATTCAAGTAAATGAAGAGTGAAACCAGTAAACACAGAGTGATCCAGGATAGCAACATCATTGACCTTGTAGCCTTTAATCAGCCACTAGCTGACATCACTGAGGACAGTCAAAAGCCAAAATCCAAGTCCAAGCATTTATTTACCAATGCTGCTGGCAGCTCAGAGGCCAACGATGGCGAAATCTCCATCTAAACTGGCATCTAAACTGCCTGGGATTAGACTATACCAGGGAAGCTAGGGCATCTCAGACATCTCTGTCTGTCTGTCTGTCTCTCTCTCTCTCTCACACACACACACACACACACACACACACACACACTCCAGTTCTAAAACATAAAATAGCCACCTCATGTCAGCTATCCACCCCCCCAAACATTCAATTACATATCTAGGTTCATGAACAACATCTGAAATAAAAGGGGAAAAACACCCATAACATAACTTATTTCCTTAAAACTGCCAAAGCAATTCACTAAAGTTTTCCATGAGGGTCCTAATTGAATATTTCCCCAAATTTCCAAGCTCAGGCTGATTTCAAGGAAAAACACAATTTTATAGGTAACGACAGTACTTAATTCTAATTCTTAGTTGAATTTCTCTCTGATTTTTGAAATGAGCTTTCATTGGTTTGATTGTTCTGAAACACCCCAAACATAAGAAAAAAGGAAAACCATCCCAAACAGGATTTCGCACTTAGAAATAAAACTGCATAGTTCACCTAAAACAGAAAGATTAGAGCCACCCCTGGTCAAGGGCCTTAGGAAGGCTTTGTTCCAGGGTTGGGAACACCTAATAAAAAGGGATTGTACAGATCTTTAAAGAACACGCTGGATCGAAGAAAGTAAATTCAAAATTGGTACAAGCTCATCTGAGAGGACCAAAATGAAGCGAAAAGCATCCAGCACACTTTTTGGATAGCCTATTATCCAGGCCGTGTGACCCATTTGCAACTGCTTATTCCCTATACCACTGGCAATTTAACATTTCTGCCCAAAACACAGTGGCAACCTTCAGAGGACTTCAATTCCAAGAGCAGTCCTGCAGGACATATGTGAGTTTTGGGGATTGTTCGCATGATGGAAAAATCCCAAGGATCCGACACTCTAGGTGACAGCAGGTCCCCAAATCCTCTACTTTTGACCACAAAGACAACGCTACGGGGCCTGACCCATATAACTACAGCTGACACCAGACTCAGGATGACCTGGCCCCCTGTCTCCCTCAACTTCCTGGAAAGACTCCCAAACTCCCTGGAAAGGCTGAGCCCTCCGCCTCAATCACAGTCCTACCCAATAGAGCATTTCAAGGGTGGTGGGGAGATAATTTACCTGGTCTGAGAAGGCAATGTCTCCCACTTACCCTGAGACTGGAAAGAAGTAAAACCTGAAGCCTGAGAGCAGGAGGCAGGATGGGGAAAGTAAAGAGGAAAAGCAAGGGGGAAGGATGCAAAGCGTGGAAACAGATAGACAGCAAGGACAGAGAGCCTGGAAGGGAAGCCTCAGGTTAGAAAGGCAGAGAAGGGGGGAAAGGAATGCATTGGCTAGTACAGGCAAAGAAAAGAAAGGTGAGTGTGGTATACAGTGGCAGGCGAGAAGACCAGAAGAGAAAATGGAGGAAGCCCAGTATAGGGGCATCTGGGAGACAGAGGACTTGTTTGGAGAGGAATCTTTGTTTTTCGGTACCCCAGCTCCAGCCCTGCATCTCCTCAGAGAACCCAAGGTCCAGGTTCTACTTCCTACAGACTCCAGCTGGGTGAGGGTTCATCCCACATGAAGGTGCAGGTTCTCAGCTACCCTTCTCAGGGCCAAGTAGAATTTTAGGAGAGCCTGACACAGGGACAGATGCAAACAAATCAAGGCAAAAACCAGGAAATTGACACACAGATACAAGGGAAACACAGCCCCACCCCCACAGGGCAGACCATGCAGGGTTTCGAGGTTGGGGGAGAGGGTTGAAGATACCCCCTGAGGCCTTTGTGGCTCTGGTCTGTGAGGGTTGGCCTGCATAGATGTTCCCTAGGCCCTGATAAGGGCATATTACTCACCAGGGGCCCTCTCCAAACCCCAAAGACCATGGCTAGGTAAAGGGTTGTGGGGAGAGGGCCTCTGCTGACTCAGTGGGAAGACCCTACTCCAAAATCCCACAGGGTTCTTGAAATTCCTCCTAGTAGCACAGGAGAGGGTAAATGAAGAGGCACTCAGAAATGCAAACAGGGACACAGGGAAAAAAGCAGGGATGAAATTTCCTCAACGGGCGCAAACCAACAGACACACGCTGACACAGATGGACAGTCAGGTCATGGATACAGATAGAGGTAAACCAGAGAGAGTGCCTTGCACATGTGTGTGCTTACTCAGAACAGTCCACTGTCCTCTCTCTGGAATCTTGAGTCTCGCCCTCTCCCCTTCAGGGAATCCTGGAAGACCCAAGAACCAGCTCCAGCTTTACCCATGTGAACTTCCTGTCAGTCTTTTTGTCTCTCTGACTTCAATATCATACTCTGTAAAATGGGTTTAGCTGAAGGCTTAGATGACACTCAGGTAGGAGGCTGGCCATAAAAGTGCTTTATAACTGGAAACCATACCTGGGGGAAGGAAACAACTAGGCAGGGGTGGTGGGAGGCCATTGTGCTGATGAAAATGACGAGTCTAGAATAGGGGGTAAGGGCCGGAGAACACTGATTTCCCAGCAGTGCCTTCCCCTCCCCCAACACCACCTCCTCCCAGAAGCTGTCCTGCTCCAAGAGGGTGGGGGCAGGGAAGTAGGCGGAAAGAAGCTGACTAGGGCCAGGAAGGAAGATGAGGAAGTGGGACTTGGTCTGAACCCCTACTATACCAACAATCTCTCAGGATCTACTTGTGCACCCCCTCAATCACCAACAAACTGGGGCCAAGGGTGGGCCTACATTGTACAAGCAAATAGCTTTAGGCGTCAGAACCAAGGGCGCTTCCAGAGGAGCCAGCTCTGAAAGCTAGGCTGGCTGGGGCCCAGCCCCCACCATGCTGCCAGGAAGATTGAAACCGGGAGGAGGGAGCAGTTCTCGAGGAGGGGGCAGAAGAAGGCCTGGACGAGGAGGGACAGAGACACAGGCATTTTCGGTTGGCCAACCGGCCCCTGGAAGGAACCACCCTCTCCACCCTCATGCTCTGCCTGGAGATCACTGATTCTGATGCTGTCTCCCCAAGGGCCCGGCGAACCCGGGGCTCCAGGATCTGCGTAGGAGGCAGTGAGGCTACGTGGATTCTGGCTGGCGAAGAGAGACCATGCAGGGGTCAGCCCTCCTCATTTTGTCCCCCAGTCGCTCCTTGGCTGAGCTAAAGCCTTGCCCACCTCTCAGGGTATTGACCCCAACTCGTTTGTTTTGTCGCTCACTCTTGGAGAGCAGATCCTCCCCGGAGTATGGCTCAAGTCTGCGCAGGAGACGGCTGCCGGGGCGCTGGGGTCACCATGGACTGGAAACCGTTTTGGCACAGGCCCCAAATGGTGAGGAATCGTTTGGGGTAGGACCGGTGCAAGTGGCTTCTCTGCGCAAATCTCCCCACTGCTTTGGCGGATTACCTTGTATTCGCGAAATTGACACAAAGAGAAAGTGACCTGCCCGCAACCAGCCCGGCGGCTTAGATCAGCATTTCCCGGCTTGCCAGGCCACTCCGCCCTCCGGGGCAGAAACCGGCAATTCGCTCGCCCGGGAAGCTTGCCTTCTCTCCAGCCGGGTCTAGGCTGCCTTTGTTAAATAGGGGACTCACGGCTGGGTAAGCAGGAGCCTGGGCTGTCTGAGGGGAACCTGGCTTGGGGTAAGCTCCCCGTCCGGGAGCAACTCCCTGACCTGCCGCCCGCCCGTGGGGACCCGAGCTGGGCACCCGGCTGGATGCCGCCAAAGCCTGGCGCCTTGCTCCGGCCCAGCTCTACAGCGTGCAGAAGGGAAACACGATTCGTTCCACTTGGAATTTCCTTGAAATCTCCGAATCTAATCCGGCGTTAACTCACCGTGAGAGGAGCGCTCA